GTTGTGTAAAAAGGCAACACCTTCTGCTCTAGTCATTTTAGGCTAATATAAAAGAAAATTAGAAATTGGAAATCATTTGCTGCTAGTATGCATGGATTTTGTTAGCGTACAATAAAATAGGCATTCTGAAGTTTGCTTTTAAAGAGGAGACTTTGTGACCTTTAAGACTTTTTTCTTAACTCTCTCATCTCACATAGGGCTTCTCAAAGTTCTTTTATACTTCTTGCTGGTTCTAGGAACCACCCTAGGTCTGAGAAAAGAGATTGGGGTTTGGGTGGGTGGGGGGAAGGAACCAAGTACTGTTCCTGGAATTATGGGCTTTTTCTCCCTTCAGTGTTTATCTATTCTGCACCACTCAGCTGTTCTCTGTTGCACAGAAATAAAAGTTTAGTTTAAAAAGTATGTTAGAACAAAGCTGTAGAAATTGCCTGGAATTTCCTTCATTTTGAGCCATCTGGCTTTCATTGCTTACTTCTTTCCCCTCCTCCACATACGTTTACCAAATCTTTTCAACACACACTGGCCAAGCTATCAAATGCTTATAATTAATAACAGTCATACTCCTTTTTTTTTTTTTTTTTAAGGTAGTGCTTTCTGGCTTTCCTTGGGCTGCTCATGTCATTGCTAGTATAAACCATGAAGATGGTCAGTAAAGCTTAATTATTAAGACTTAGTTGAATAAGAAAGATAATCTAATCAAATGTCAGTTCAGTCCTGTATACAAAAAAAAAAAAAAAAAATTCAAAATAAAGTATTTCTCACAAAGAAATAAAAGGGAAGAAAATTAGTTTTTCTGAGTGTCTACCATGATCCTATTTCAGAGGTGACGAAGCTGAGGATCCAAAAAGATGATCTCTTGGAGATCATAGCTAACCGTGACAGGAAGAATTTAAATATAAGTGTAAATCTATCTGCTGGTTTTTATTTTAGTGGTCTCAAGGATGGGAATGCTCTTCAGTGTACATTATCAAGTGAAAAATCATGTTACTGACCAATATGTAAATATGATCCCATTTACAAAGGAAAGAAAAGCATATTTGTATATGTTCCTATATGTATAAATTCATAGGAAAAGGACTGCAAAGGTACATACCAAACCATAAACAGTAGTTCTCTCTGGGGAGAGAAGAGAGTGGAACTGTAGAGCATGGTGGTGAAAAGGGGAGCGTATGCCTTTCTTTTGATTACTACTGCTATGCTTGATTTGTAAAGATTATATTCATGTATTACTTCTATAATTACTATAATAGTCAGAAAGCTTTCTTATTGAGAACAGGAGGCTGACCTCTTTCCTAATGATAGATCTTAGCTCTTTTTGGTTGTTTCTCTCAGGAGCTGGTCCAACTCACCAGAGAAGGTGAGCAGGGTGGTGAGGCTTCCAGACGCAAATTACACAGACAGTGGAAAAGGTATCTACAGTGATTTTTCTTCCTTGTAATGATAAGTTCTTTGTTATAAACCTTGATGCAAAATTCTCACTGTCAGCTCACAAACAAAAATAATCCTAATTTCTTCTGGCAAATTTTAGGCAAGGTTGCTAAGGGATTAACACCTGTCTATGGTTTACTACCTTCCATCTCTCCCAACAAGTAGTCTCCTTCCTGGATAATGCGAACATGTCACTCAACAATCATGTCCACTCTCCCCTCTGTTAAGCTTAGCCTTCTATTATTATTTTGAGGATACTTTGCCATATGTGGCTGCTAACAAAGTGTTACTTATCCTAAGGCAATTTATATTTTAAATTGGCATTTAAAGCCTTAAATTTAAGGAAGAGATTCTAATAATGGCATTTTTAGCACCATCTGGTAGGTGGGACAGAAAGGATAGGGATTGAGAGCAGAGACAACACTGGAGTCTTCTCAGCTATCATTAATAATAGAGTCTAAACATTACTACTGAGACATTTAGCCCATTCCTTTAAACTCATTTATTTGATAAACATTTAATAAGCCCCTGCTACATGTCAGACATTATGCTAGGCATCAGTTGTAGAGAGAAGGATTAAGACATACGGTTGGTTGATGGCAAGGACTTTAAAATATAGTTCTCTTCCACTGATAACTACTATTTTTTAAAGTGCACTAAAAAAATGCAGGCGGTCGTGCACATGCACATACATAAATATTAGAACAGAGAATACCTCTTGCTTGAGAATACAACCTTCCTGCTGTGACTAGCTAGGTGTGAAAATGTATCTGTCTAGACCTGGTAAAAACTGGAATGTGCTTCTGACACCAGCTCCGCCATCCACACAGAGTAGTAAGTCAGGAGAAGGTAAGTGTAATACTAGAAAGACTGCCCAGATAGGACATGCCCTCTAGGGCCTTTCATATTCTTTGCGTGATCTGGTAACTCTGACCATACACAAGTGGCAAAGTGGCTTCCTAACTGGCATTCAGTAGACTGACAACCGCCTGGGAAAGCTACTGAACCAGCGACCTCTCAGAGCCATAATCCCAGTGATGAAACCTTGAAACATCATTTCTGCATGTCTCACTGAAAAATTTTATGGTTTTTTTTTGAACACATAGACATTAGCATAGATCAAGAGCCCAAAAGACAGTGTATAGAAACTTGGGGCCCAGCAGGGGACACCTTAAAATGTTCAGGGAACACTGATCCACGCACAATAAGAATTTCTGTGAATTAAAGATTTAAATTACTCTCAACTGAACAGATGGTACTTTGGAAAACAGCGCCACACTATTATGTCCCTATCAAACACATTTTCTCCTCCACATACACTTTACACCCCCCTTGATGTCATAGTGAAATATGCAACAGGAGTTTACCTCCATGCATTTCTCACTTTAAAGATAAAAATCTGCTTTGGCACTTTGATGGAATGAAGAGAGCGAGTCCTATTAGGCCATTGTACTCGGGTCACCTTTATTGCATTAATTAGCATCAATGTACAAATGCTCAGCTGTGTGTGGCTGGCTCAAGAAATCCCTGGCTGGGTCCAGTAACAAAGGTCTTGCCTGACAGTCTGACAACTGGTTGGTGGGAAATCAAAGCACTGAATTTATCTGGAGCAAATGCCATAAAGTCAAGTGTAACAAGAGTCCTTGTCCAGGAGTGAATAAATAAGGTTGTAGAGTAAATTAAGTTCATCTATTTTAACCACAGTCAGTACTTTGAGGATGGGAAGTAACATCTTGTGTTCTATTCCTTCTGCTGCCCCTGGAAAGGAGAGGTGTAGAGGCCCCAAATCCCAGAAGATTTTCAGCTAGTCCTAGGTTCTGACTCCTTGGCATTGCCTCAGTTTGTCACAGCATCTGACTGTCATTACAATACTGGAATGTGGTTAGAAAGACACTTATGCTTGTTTTTAAAGTGATGGTTAATAAGCAGACAGAAGTGACATCAATCGTCAGCAGAAAGCAGCAGCAGTAGCAGCCTAATGCTCCTATCTACTAAATAATGAAGAGTCAGGGGCTAACTGAGCAAAGATGTGGTGACCTCAGATCATCTCATACAGCCAGTTCATTCTGCAGAATGAGAAACAGAAAGGGCAGAAACCTTGCCCAATGCCACACAGCTAGTGGGCGACAGAGCTAGGATAGGAACCCAGGTCCCTAGACCTCTTAGTCAAGGCCCTTGCAGGCTGTCCATGCTGAAGCCACTCTGCGTCTTCCTAAATGGGGACAATGCAATCAAATAGAAGGGCTTTGTACCCCTTACTCATACAGTTAGGTCTTAGGTTCACCCAACTGGAGAACAGTGAGGTTAGGATGGAGATGTGAGATCAGTTAATATAGAAACAGAAAAGAGGTTTCTCAGGATTCCACTCACTGGATCTAGCTTTTGAGTCCAGCCCTTGACTCTGTTTTACTGGCTGCTGTTCTCATGGGTGGAGTGCCCCTCTGAGCAGTGGCTGACTGACTTTCTGGAGAATATGGCACGAGTGGCCTTCCTCACTTCTGCATTTGAAAGGAGAAGCCAGACCTACCATTCAGATCAATATATAGGATAACTCTGGTGACCAGCAGAAGTGTCACAGTGAGATTGTGCCCTGATCTGATCCAAGGAGTCCTGTAATCTGTACCCTCTAAGTCCCTAAGAAGGGCATCTAGTTGGCTGAGAAATAAGACAAGCAGCATCAGGTTGGCGAGAAATTATTGTTGATTTCTGAAGGCAACACACTGATTCTTATAAGATACTCTGAAGACAAAGAAGAGATCTCATTCAAAACAGAAGACATATCATTCAGAAACAGCATCCCCCTTCATATCTACGATATAACCTTATCTAGTAATATTCTTCATTCCATCGGCAGACTTGAAAGCCTGGCTTTGGTTCCCTAAACATCTCCCTTTGAAACCAGAATCATAGACGAGATGGTTTAGCTTCTACAGAGATTTGCTCCAAAGAAGTATGTGAAGGCAACTCTCTCAAGACACCATAAAATTATGTGGACTGAAGCAGTGATTGGATTGATTAACTAAGACTCAAGGTTGGGTAATAATGAGACCCAGGCAGAGCTGAACAATAAAATGCTCTAATTGATTTTATGCATGTGGAATGACATACATACACCCCAGAGCATGCTATAATGAATCTGCATGCTGTGTGCATACAGATTTCACAGTGAATCAACTATACCACCCAGACTCTCCACGAGCCAATCCATTACTATGGTGTGAGGGCTTGAGACACAGGCTAAAAGGTGGCAGAGACCATGCAGTCTGTGGTCAGTTCGTATTCCCTCCAGAAGAAAGCAGCGGGGCGGCACGTGCACATACCGGTCATACCGCGAGACACGCTTCAGCGCACGGAGCCTTTTGGACCCTGAGCATGACCATTGGGCTGGAATTCCAAAGCCCTGGTTTCAATTAAACTTAAGTGGATTTGACTCAGAGTTTGAACTGATACTAATTGGTTTTCAAAACACTGGGAAACAATAAGCATTCCCGCTCTGCCCACGGGTTGACGCACCCAGCTCCGAACATGCTCCTGGGTGGCAGGGCAGGCAACATGCCCCTGATGCCCTTTACCTTGCTGGGCAGGGATCCAAACTGCAGGCTTTCAGGAGCTTTGGGGGCCGGCGGCTGGTCACGCACAGGTTCTCATCAGCAGGCTCCCGCGTCTGTTTGTTCAGGCAGCTCACCACGGCCTCCTGGACACCTGTGTACAAATCACACTGTCAGCCCAGAGTGGGCGTGTGGGGGGTGATGAAGTGTAGACAAGGCAGCTGGTGGGAGGGCTCTGTGATTGGTAGGACTCTGGATGCAAATCAGAGACAGCAGTTTAAAGCCCAGGACTGCCCATCTTGTTGCGCTTCGCTCAATTTGGGAGAAAGTACACCTAGGCTTGTGCTTCTCTGTTAAGCGTGCCCTGTGAGGCACAGAACTGCCCCGAAAAGAGAGGCTTCTACCAGTACTGATGAAATGCTTTAAAAAAAATGCCACCAGGCCATACAGTTGTCAATGCTGAAACATGATACTTTAATGCAGGAGAACAGGGTGACTGGGGGAAAAAAAAAAAAGGCCCCAAGACATTCACACATTACTTTTTAATCAACAGGAGACTGTTGTATTTGGAAGCGAGGCCAAGGGCCATGTTTTAATATTCAACAATCTGTAAACTGCTGTTCTTCTGGGGACTTGCATCTAGGACTCCAGTTTTTGTTGGTTTCCTTTTGATTCTGATTCATTTCTTTAGTGACCTAGGGCAGCTTTGGAAGTTGGAACAGAAAGAGAAAAGATGCACAATGATTACATCCCTGGAAACCCACTGACACTGCATGCCCCTGACTCAGAGCAAGTAAGATAGGAGTTTGACCAGTGATGGGCATGAGGTCACTTGGCAGGTCTTCCAAGGCGGTAGGCAGGCTCCCTCATGGAGACCTCTGTGGAGCAAGGAAACATTTAACTAGGTACGGTAATGACCAGACTTCATTCTGGTGCCCACAGTAATAATAATAGGCAAAATCCACAGGCTTCACTCAATCCTCTCAACAACTCCAGGAGTTAGCACTATTTTTATCCCCAATTTACAGATAAGGAAACTGAGGCTTAGAGGGGTGAAAAGACTTGCTGAGGTCATACAGTTGATAAATGGTAAAGCTGTGCCTTAACACTACAGCTTTAATGACTGAAAGCATTAACATTTAAAAATACTAAGAGGCTGTTATATCTGCAGGAGATATTCAGGAATAACCAACCTAGACGTTTGTCTGAAATCATTTCAGCAGAGTTCAGTTTAAGGAACAGGCGAGACAGGACGTTCTTGATAATATGCTTTCAGCCATACAAAGCTATGTAAATAAAGATCCGTACACCTAAAGATATCTATCTGTAGCTAACTATTTGTATATAGTTAGTTATAGTAGAGTATAATTAGTTATAGCAGTGACAATACATAAAATTAGTTTTATGTCTAAATACACATACATTTTCTTGTTTTTATTTTCTGCATTGCTTTGTTAATTAGTACTTAATATAGTACAGCTGACCCATCACTTATTAGCCCTGTCCCTTCCCTCCTTCTATCTAATGTTTTTCCAAGAAGTTATCACCCCAATTAACAGGGTAACGCTTCCTAAAGTAATGTTACACTGGCTTAAGTCACTCAGCAAGGCTGTTATTTAAAAAGTGACATTTTAAAGCCAGAATCTGAATCACCTCTCTTTCTTTCTAGTAAATCTTATAAATCAGACATTAAAAATAAATAAATAAATAAATAAAAATCAGACAATATTTACTCTGTGGCTGTGAATGTAACTTTTTTTTCCCTAAGTTTTTTTTTTTTATGTGCTTCAAAGTTTAATTTAAATATATCACGGCCAGTTCAGAGTGGAGCATTTGAGATTCATATGAGACACCCAAGCTACTCTTTATTCTGTAATGCTGACTACAGGGTGTTTCTCTTGGTTGCAGCTGGGATAAGCCATTTGAAATTCATGGTATGATGATATAGCAAAACATTTTACAAGAAATGGTTGATATCATCACTGATTCTTCCCACTGGAATAGTCTGGCATTATTAAGGTAATGACAACAAGGTGCTGCATGAAGCTAACTCTTCTATATAAAATCTAGAGCTGTAAACTAATAAATTAGGTTTAAAATTCATTTACCTACCTGGTAATATTCAAGAGATATCAAATGTTTTTCTAAAATAACTCTTGGCTTTGTTCAGATATAAACAGCTTATCACTTGCCTTACTTGAAAGTGCTTCGTGTATGTGGGGGTGTACGAGTGATGTAACCTGTTTCCACTTTGTGAACTCATTGTTTATAGAACTGAGGTCCTTCTAAGACTGCAAGGAATGGGTGTAACAAGGGCTAAGGTTTCTAAAAGGACATCAGTAATCTCTTCTTTTGGATATGTGGGACACAAATTTACATGACTCTAAACCAATAATCATAGCTCAAGATAAAAATCACCTTTGGGGTGGTTAAGTGCTAAGATTAAACAGCATTCTAGAGTTATTAAATTCTAATCTACCATACTATAAAACAATGTACTTTGCCTCTGTAACACTATGCATTAAATGTATATTGCCATGGGGGCTGGTTGCCTCAGCATTCTTAGGTGGGGCCTGGGATGAGGGGAAACCAAGGACAGAGCTCTGTAATAATTAAGGACTATCTGGGACCAGCCCTGTGGTCAACACGCAATAAATTTTTGTGGCCTGACGAATGAAATGCCTAAAGGGCAAGGAATTCTAAGCATAGTGTGCAATTTCGGCTAAAGGGACGTGCGAATGGGATGCCTGCAGGAAGGAACATGGAATGAGGGAGCTGCCCTGCAATGGGGAGTGTGGGATGTTGGATGAGGAAGGAAATGTGAGGATTTCACCTGCAAGTTCACAGTGTTCTTGGCCCAGGGGAGTCAGGCCAGGATGTGAGAAGTTAGCTCATCCAGCTTGCTCTCTTTCCAAACAGGCTAATATATATACTTTGAAGGACATTTTAAACCAATACAGAACACATGTTTAAGTAGAGTACTTTATGATTTTGAGTTTTCTTTTCTTGTCAGAAGCTAAAGAAGAGAGGACTCATAAGGAAAAGGGAGTAACAGGTAAAAGACTTCACCTTTCATTCTTGCTGAAGTAAATTTCAAGTTTTCCCTCAGCTAGAGTTTAATGTTATTTTACGGTCTAGGAGTTCAATATAATAAAGCTGTTCAGGTTCAAACCTGCTCTCCTTGACCACATCTATTAGTGCACGTATGGGAAATTAAAACATAACAAGGAGATGATGGTGGGACGCAGGACACAGATACGAACAGGTTAGGCTCACTTTTAACCTTCCAGAAAATGGGATTTTCATTGTTTATATCTCCCAGAATAGCATAATTGTTACATGATATTTGATGACAGCTCAGGGAAACGTAGCCACCAACGACAGCCTAAATTACTAACTAGTTCCTTCTGGTTGCTACCTCTGCTAGGTGAAAGGTTACTTTTGTATCTATCCAATTTCATCTCATGAGATTACAAAAAAATAAAATTAGCCTGAGTGGCCTTACAACCCAAAATTGATTTAAAATCTATCTATTAATCTTGCACATTTTTGGTTGGCTTCAGCAAGAATGATTAAAAATATATAATCTCATGGATATATTTTGGTGAAAGATCAAAGTTGATGGTACAATAAAATCTTACTGCCAAACACTGACTTCAAAATATACATGTCCCATATAACGAAATAATTTTTTAGTGCATATGGGCATCATATGGACCATATAACCCAAGCATATTTTCACCACTTTGAAATTTTCAACTCTAACATTTGAGGTGTAAATATATTACCTTGGAACAGGGACATAACTGTAGGTAAGTATGCACAGTTGTTGACAGTTAAGACCTAAGACATTTCAGTAACTTTACCCTGCCTTGGATATAAAGGATGTACAATTTATGTTATACGAAGACACTCAGTTCCTACAGGCAGAGATCAGTTGTATATCAAACATCCAAATCTTATTTCCAAATCAATATCTTAGAACATTTTAAATTCAAAACATTCCATCTACTCTCTACACTTTGAATTTTATACTCCTAGTTGATCAGCAGAATGGTTAGAATCTTAAAGATAAAAGTATCTGCTTATTTATATATTCCATTACAGCATCTATTTTTTCCATCTGTTCATAAAGCTCCAGCTTTGACTTGTAACTGAGAACCTTAACTGAGAGACCATAAATAATTTTTTTCAAAGCACATTCGTTTCAGACTAGAGATAACGATCATTAAATTCAGGTGATCATGGAAATTGGAGATAAACACACACCATCTGAACTCTTAAGTCATTTGTTATATTGGAAAGAAGCAACTATAGCCACTGGCTGTGGCTTTTCCACCTGACCTCACAGCTCCTGCCTGGGCTCAGAGATCATCACCAAAGCTTACTTAACACTTTTCTCTTGTTAAGGATGGAAGAAAAGATGTCCTCCGTGTGAGTGGAGAACACCCTAAGAACACAGATTAGCTGAGTTCCAGGAAACTCTTCCAGAATCAGATGGAAAAATTTAGGTTTTAAAATAACAAGGCTCTCCATTAAAACATTTAAGAATTCCACAGGTTGAAATTGGAAGACTTAAAAACAAACAAGAATCTCAAGGTCAAAACTATTAAACGCTTATTAAAAGACCTGACGGAGAAAATGGATTCTTTGATAGTACTTGTTCCACTATTCATTCATTTTTCAACTCCATGGGAACAATTTGGGTACATTCATTCTTCCATTCTCAATAATGACAAAAGATGCCTTTTAAAAAGAGTTTCCAAAATGTCATGGTTTAGAAAACAGTTTTGAAAAATTTTAATATATTTATTTTTATACCATGTAAACAAGAAATTTTGCTGGGAGTGTGGGACCTTAACATGCCAAAGGTGGGTACAGATTGCCAGGGACTTGGCAGGAAATCGGTCAGTCTTTCCTCACCTACCAAAATCTCTCTTGGGAGAAGACATGGGAGACAGTGGCAATACAAATCTAATGTAGTTTCCGTAATGGTAAGAAAGACTGTAATCCTGAAGAATTGTTGATTTCAATACCTTCCTCTCTCACTACAATCCCATTCATATTTCGCCTGAAATAAAGAACCACTGAATCTGTTGTTATCACCAAAAAATATATCTAAGAGAACCAGGTCAATACACATGAAAACATTTAACATTAGTTAAATAATGTTCATAATGAGAAAGCTTCAGGAATTCTCTAAGGGTTTAAAAAAGTGTGGTATGATGGAAAGACTATAGACAGAGAAATAAATGGCAGGCATAGTCCCAGCTGTCTCTCACTAGCTATGTGATCTTGAACAAGTCACTCAGCTTCTTTGTATCTTAGTTTTCTCATGTAAAATGGTGGTAAGGTCAGACTTTAATCTTTAAATTCCTTTCCAGTTCCTCGTAACCATCATGTTAAATTGCCCTTTATACACGCTTTTCCTTTATAAATAGATATTACTTTAGGGAATTCGGCTGAGTAAATCAGAGGGACTATAACCCATTTTGGGGAAGAGCAGAATATTCTGTCATCTTGGGTTTTGGTTCATACCACGTGTGTTGAGGCGAGGGCACAGATAAATGAAACTGAAAGCTGTGGGTACTGCCAGATTGGTGTCAACTGTGTTTCTCAGTCAGATACATTAGAATATACTGCAAATCATCAGAAGGACAACAGAAAGTAAAAAACATTAGTGCTGTTGGTCACTCACAGCTGACAGCCTGAGAGCCACTCAAGCCCAAAGAGAACTACATCTGTGTTTCATTCAGTATGCTTTACATTTAGAAAGGCTTACTCCCCCTTCCCCGCCGCCCGCGTCCCGCCACCCCCCCACGCCACTTAGCATTCTTGAACGAGAGGCGGTCACATGACACAGCTGCATGCAGGCATAGTGAATACAGAAAAAGGACAAGAAGATGGAGGGGATCTGGACCAGAACCCCGCTTCTTACCTCCTCCACATGACTCCGAGCACTTGGTGAAGCCCTCATACTCCCAGTCGTACAGCTCGTCAAAATCCTGCAGGCCATCTGTCTCTTCCGGGTTAAACTCGGGAACTTCCCCATTGCATGGTCCTGCATAACAGGCACGCTGGGATGCTGGCTTGGGTCCCTCACATTCATCAACCGGCAGGTCAGCCACGGACTGAGAGAAAGACAGGAGCACCTGGCACTTTACTCTTCGTACCTGGGTCCCCACACCACAGGTAACTGTGCAGGCCGACCAGGCCTCTGGGATGAACCTGCAATCGGCAAGCAAACAAAAAAACAGGATGAGAAGTCCCAGGCAGGAGACCCTGGGCATCGTGAAGGGCCGCATTCCATCTGCCACCATGGCCCAGGGCCGTCCCAGGATGTGCTCAGGGCTCCACCACCCTGTCCTATGATGGGCGCTTCAGGGTGGTTTATGAGCTCATTTGCCACTGTTTCTGGATTAGTTTTTCAAGCGTGTCATCTGAACTCCCAGCTGTAAGACATTCCAACCACAGACCACCTGCTTTCTCCCTGCCTCCTCCTACCCACAGTAGCTCTTCAGAACAGGGAATTGAAGGTTTCTTCTCCCTCCCTCTAAATCCCAGCACTTGTGCCTGCTGCAAGATGCTGGCTATTCTTACAGCAGCCTAATACCGATACTAAAAACTATAGCAACATAAGCCCTTGGAGATATTTAAGGAAGTATTTTTCTTAGTTGGGATCTCATATTCTGTAACTTTCTTTGCTTTTCTGCACAATGTGCTTCCCAAGATTTATTTATATGTAGAAAGAAGTTTGTTTGTTTCTTTTCTTTTTTTTTGTAAGTTTCCAAGAATGGAGCAAAGTCTTGTTCCTCACACATTCTTTGAATTAGTCTGGACTGCAATTCTTTTTATATCACAGAGAAAAGATGTGCTACAAATTTAAGTCCACAGGCATGTCACAGTAAAGGAGAGCTTGTGGATTCATACAAGTTTGTTCCACAGCCTCCACCCCTGCCCTCTGAGAGAAGCCATACTAGCGAGAACCTGGTTTTTCTCTGAGTTTCTCTAGAATGTAGGACAATATCCAAATTACCCCCCTCCCCGCAAAAAAGGCTTTTTTTCTCCTACTCATCAACAATGGCCATAACTGCAATGACCTTGAGAGGGGCCAATGGAAAAAAAAACCCAGAGGGAACCACTAACATTTTCAAAAAGTTAGTATAATAATCTGGAAAAAGAACTTCGGAATTTTTTTTTTTCCATAATCCTACTGCTTTCTCACAGGGAGTCATGCTGAAGAGGCATGCAAACCTGGCTCCTTAACCTTGACTTTGGCAGAAAAGTTAAAAACTGATAAGAAGATTTAAATCCTAGCAAGTGCAAATGGTCCATATCTGGTTTAGGGGAACTGAAATTCTAATGGGAAACCAATCCAAGTTTTCAAACTGGAAGGAACACAACAAAGATGTTCCCTGAGCCTGTGCTGAGTGTGGGACAGGGGATCTGGCATCCCTCGCAGGCAGCTGACTGAGAATGGAAGGAGTCCCTTTAAGAAGGATCTCTGGTTGTTGCCTTTGAAGAGCCATCCCCTAGGAGAGAATGAAAGTCACATATGACCTTGTCAGGGAGGTGGATGAGTGAGGGGGAAGGGCCATCTAGAATTATTCCCAAGAAATTCTCATCACAGTGTTACCTCCCTCTGTTGTTTTTCAATTCTTGATTTCATCTTCTGGCACCTAGAGAACTTGGAGAAACAGTATATCCTGAAAGATGAAAAAGTCTCTTTCTCTTTAAATAATGTTACCTGTAGGGACTTTTTAGAAATATAAACCCAAAATCTGCAATCGAAATAATCTTAACCCCCTTCTTACACATTTGTATATATCTGCCTGGCTCCTGGTACAAGAATCATGACAAATACACAAGCACTCAATCTTATAACCCAAGTGTAGACATAAAGAAAATGTGTACTAAACTATTCTGTATATAAGAAAAAGCCAAAAGCAAATGATGATTCTGCCAACTTTGACCACAATGTGATAAATAATGCTTCTTTAATAATGTGGTGCTAAATTTTGTTTTCAAATACAAAAGATGACAAGATCTCAAGAAGGACTGTAACCCTATTAATTTCACCTATGCAGTAAGGATTATTGTTCTGTCACCTATCATAGCCCTCTTTCAGTGACTATTACAAGATAACAAGGATCAGCTAACCTTTTAGGGCCAATAGAAAATATTTCAGATTTTGTGGGCCAAGTCTGTGAGTCTTTTGTTGTTGCAACTATTCAACTCTATCTATGTAGTGTGAAAGCAGCCATGGACTATACATACATAGACATATGGGTTCGGTTGTGTTCCAATAAAACTTTATTTACAAAAACTGGGGTTAGAGGTGGAAACGGCGGTGGAAGGGTCTGAATTTTGTCTGTATGTTGTTTAGCAATTCCTGGAATATTTAGTGGAGAAACCAAACACACTGAGATTCATAAACAACCTCCAGACAGTAAGTTTTATTTAGGCCTTAATTTCCATTTTTTCCCCACAAATAGCTTATAAGAAGACAAATAGCTAAGCTGATTTATGTTCTATCTTCCACAGTGAGTCCCAGATAAAATCTAGAATATAAATGATGCACAAACCAAACCCTCAGCTTTCCTTAACTATAATGTAAGTCACTTTGCATTTGGTCTCTTTCCAGGACCAGGAAGAGACACCGAAAGCTCCAAAAGTAGGAGGGGCATGTTACTGAAGCCCTGTGAACTCGCTGATATTGTTCGAAACTTGTTTATTTTAAAGCAGCATCTAAGTGAAAATGAAAGTGTGTGTGTGTGTGTGTGTGTGTGTGTGTGTGTGTGTGTGTGTGTGTAGGTATTTTTGACCATTGAACACTTAGGATTAATAGCAAAAACAATAAACATCTAACTTTATGGCTCCCAAAGTGGGAGTCTTATCAAATGTCAAAGAGCCTTACTGGCTTGTCTCCCAACCCACTATCCTTAGGTCTTCACTAAGTTCACATCAATTAAAAACAATTTAGCTTTTGAGTGGTGCTGTCCTCTAACAGTCATGTTAATTTCTCTTGTGCATACACTGCATTATATGATCTATCCTCTCTCATTGAAAACAGGAGATCATATTTCAAAAGAGAAATACATAATAGCGCAAATGGCCAACGAATAATAACTTTTTCATATGAAACTTTCCCCCACATCCCTAGGTCTCCCAACTCTGTATTTACTATCTTGAGCTTTCTGGCCACAAGTGGGAGGAAACAAGGTCAGTGAGAGGGCAGGCCAGTGAGCTAGGAGATTGAATTGTAATGTTTAGATGGCTCAATTTGAATAGTACTTGCTGAATTAGAACCTTTTAAATGGGAGCTTTGAAACGGAGTCAATAGTTATTTAAAAAAAATCATTTTGATGTACAAAAGTACAACGAAAAAGTTCTTGTTATTGAAGTTTGAGTAATTTAAAAATTCTTTATTAGTAGTACTATTGTGGGATGAATGAAAATGGCTGGATAAATGAGTTCTTTAAAAGACGGGCTTAAACTTCAGAAAGGACTGATAGATTTCTGCATTTAGCCTTCCCATCTCCAAGAAATTAAATTTAAAAAACCCTAGCAAATAAATAATTTCTGTTTCTGTCTAGTCCTCAATTTGCAAGCTTAATTGTTCATTTTAGTAACAAGAAGCTTATCCTTTAATTAGTCATTACCACAGTCCCTTTCATGATATAGAAAACAGCGAAAATCAAATTCACTTGTAAAATTACAAAGTGATTTAGTTTATTAGTGGCTATTATGGAGTAAGAAGCATGGACTGAAATAACAACAACAAACACTTTATTAATATAATGCTAAACAGAAACAATTCAACCTCAGTTAATTAGTCTCATGTTACTGCAAATCTTAGCCAGGGTTAGGTTCTGATTTTGTGCATATGGTTTGTAACTAAGATATTTAAATTTTGCTTTTCTCCTCTTACTTTATTCTCCTTTCTCATATACATGTTTGTTTAAAAAAATCCTTGAGAATGTTAAAATAAGTGTAGCTTTATAAGTGTGTTATTTAGATGCTCTTATTAGTCTTGCCTCATTTTCTGGTTTCAACATGCAAATCAAAACTCACAGGAAATCACACTAAAAATACTTAATTTTGGTTAAGTTTTCAATTTTATTACATTTGAGTTATAAGTTGACAGAGGTTGTGGATTTCTTTTCCCTCTTTCTTTTGGTCTATGTTTGTGTATGAGAGTGCTGTCATGATATTAGGGTGAGGAGAGAAGAGGGAATAAAATAAATACTTTAGGAACAATTATAAAGACTATTATTAGAGAAAATAAGCAAATTCAGTAAAGTTGCAGGATATAAAATCAGTATACAAAAATCTGTGGGTTCCTATTACTAACAATGAAATATCAGAAAAAGAAATGAAGAAAACAATCTCATTTACAATTGCAACAAAAAAGACAAAATAACTAGGAAAAACTTAACAAAAGAAATGAAGGACCTATATACTAAAACTATAAGACACTGTTAAAAGAAATTGAAGAAAACACAAAGCAATGGAAAGATATTTCTATGATTATGGATTGAAAGAATTAACATTGTTAAAATGTGCATATTATCTAAAGCAATGTACAGATTCAGTGCAATCTCTATCAAAATCCCAATGGCATTTTTCATAGAAATAGGACAAAAACTCCTCGATTTATATGGAACCACAAAAGACCCCAAACAGACAAAGCAATCCTGAGAAAAAAGAACAAAGCTGGAGATGCCACATTCCTGACTTCAAACTATACACAAAGCTACAATAATCAAAGTAGAATGGTATTGGCAGAAAAACAATCACACTGACCAACGGAACAGAATTGAGAGCCCAGAAATAAATCTACACAAAAATGGGGAACTAATTTTTGACAAAGGAGCCAGAAACATATAATGGAAAGTCTTTAATAAATGATGCTGGGAAGACTAGAAAGCCACACGCAAAAGAATGAAACTAGACTGCAATATGACGCCATACATGAAAATTAACTCAAAATGGATGAAAGACTTGAATATAAAATGCATAGATGAAAACAAAGGCACTAAACTTCACTAGCTATTAGGGAAATGCAAATCAAAACAACAATGAGATACCATCTCACGCCTGTAAGAATTATCAACAACACAAGTAATAAGAAGTGTTGGAGAGGTTGTGGGGAAAAAGGAACCCTCATATACTACTGGTGGGAACGTAAATTGGTGCAATATGGAAAACAGTTTGGAGGTTCCTAA